TCACAGTGATGACAGAAGTCATCAACTGACATCATATATATATATAGAGAGAGAGGGAGGGAGGAAGGGAAAAGAGTGGGGGAGGCAAGCAGGTTAATTCCTCTGGGAAGGGCATACTGTAACTAAAAAAGCCATATAACAACTTATAAAGGATCCTCAAAAGAAGAACAGACGCTTGGAGTAAAAGTGGAGAAAGGAGATACTAATTTAAATTTAATAGATAATGGCTGAATCTGCAAGCAGTGCAAATGAAGAACTATGTCCTATGTACCAATGGGAAGAAATGTGTGTGTTTCACCTTTTAACACAAGCTTATCTAATTTGGCAATATACAAACTGAAATTCAGTTGTCCTTCAATGCTGGCATCTATTCATGATACGCAATACAGTTTTATGGTCGGTATGTGTGTACACTCGGGAAACGTGTACACAGAATAGGCAAAGCTAACTCACGGTCTAGCAGAAGAGAGAAGAACTGAAGCCCCAATGCTACAGGCAAATCTCTTTTGTGTAACCCACAGTAATCACAGTTGCCAAAAATCAGCAGCTCTCTTTCTTGCCATGCTGAGACGTGAAACACACCACGAAAGGCCTTGAAACTGCAGCTCCAAACCTTGAAAATCCCAAACCTGCTTTACATAGACTTGATATTTTAATCTTACCATCTCACTTATTGTGGTCCTCTCGCTACCAAAACATATTAAGTGAGCTCTTGGCTAGCAAAAGTTTGTCCACCCCAGTGGACTTAGCCTTATGAGATCAAGTATGCTTCCTGTACTGCTCTTCTCCTGCTCCTCCTTTGCGCTGCCATGACAGGGCTTCTGTTTTAAAACAATCACAAGTGAGCATGCTGTCAAAAAAATAGACAATACTCAGTGGAAAGAAACCAGTATGATAAAGTTCTGAATGAAGTTGACTTGTTCCACATAAAATACATTCAAAGGCACCACTTTGTCAGGTTTAAGCAACAGAAGCAATCACACTGTGCAAAGTATTCAAAGGAAGTTATGAAGCACTGAGCCAGGTATATTCTTGAAGAGCTTTCCCAGGATAACTGCCCAGGCAGCCCTCCAATGCAAATGCCGGAGAAATCAACCTGGGAAGACCCTTGAGGCAGCTGTGCTGAAGGTTTTGGAGGTCAGACCTTCCTCAGTGCTTCAGGGATGGGCTCTTTCAAATGTCTTGCATAGCTCTAAGGACAAGACACAGTTAACTGCAATTGGAAATAAAGTCTTCTGAACACATACTATCCAGCTATGTCAGATAACGATGGGAAGGAAAAAAAGCCATAAGGCTATGCTGGCTGGAAGGTTATGGGAGTTAGAGCACCAGCAAATCTGGAGGACATTAGCTTTGTTCTGAACAAGCATTTTGTTTATTGGCATCCCTGTTCATGTTTTTCAGTGCAGGGTAATACTTCTGAACAGAAAGAGGGTAAATTATTTGTCCATCAAAGGTGAAGACTTTGCTTGATCCTTAGTAAGTCAACATACAATGAACTTTGATTATCTTGCCATCTTCACGCTGTTATCCTGGTGACAGCATGCTCTCAAACTCAGAATGAATTGCATCCAGATAGGGGGAAAATGATCTAAACAAAATAACACTGAAGCAACAACAGACAGGATGGTAAAGAAGGGGATGGGCATTTTACAACCTGGGTGGGAAAGCAACTAAGCAAGCTGAGATGTTGTCAAAATGACAAAATGTGTGTGATCAATTGAGAGTCGCTAACCTTACCAGAGGGGGACGCAGTGGCGCAGCGGCTTAATGACGCTGAAAGTTGCCGCCCAGAAATGGTTGACGCTTCAGCGG